CAAATATCAACTACATCAAGTGGATCACTGATAGAATCAAACTCAGAATGAACAAGAAAATAATCAAGGGGATCAAAATCATAAGCTATAGAAACTCCCCTATCCATGGGTGAATCAATCATGTATGTTTGGTGGCTCTCGTCATCATCTGCTGGCTGTTTTGTAATATGGAAAATATTCACCTCGAGAGTCATGTTTCCAGAAGACAGCTTCATGAGCCCGTTCCTGCAATTAATAAGAGCATTAGTAGTGGCAAGAAAAGGCCTACCTAAAATCAAAGGAATTTTAGAAGTAGTATCAACAACATAGCTAGTGTCGAGGATTAGAAAATCAACAGGATAATAAAATTTGTCAATTTGAATTAGAACATCCTCTACCATACCCCGAGGTACTTTGACTGAACGGTCAGCTAATTGCAATATCACAGTGGTTGGTTTGATTTCTCCCAACCCTAACTGCAAATAAATAGAATATGGCATTAGATTCACGTTAGCTCCTAAATCTAACAAAGTTTGTCCAAACTCATGGTTTCCAATGTTGCACGCAATGGTTGGACAACTAGGATCCTTGTACTTGGGAGGAATCCGCTACTCGATTAGAACACTAACTTGCTCTGTCAAGAATGTTGTCTTCTTCACATGGTGCTTCCTCTTAACTATACACAAATCATTAAGAACTTTTACATAAGTAGGAACTTGTTTAATCACATGCAAAAGAGGAAGATTGATTTTTACCTGTCTTAGATTCTCTAGGATTTCATTGTTTGGATCCAGAGTTCGCTTGCTTGATTTTAAAGCTTGAGGGAATGGTACCTTAACAAGACTCTTTGTTACCTCAGGTTCCTTGGGCAGCTCGACATTACTATTTTCTTGATCATTTCCCACATCCTCTGATTTGTCCATTGATGAGTCACCACTTCGTGTCACAATGACATTCACATCCTTCAAATTCTCTTGCGCCATGTGTTGGCCCTGGGGTGCGGACTGAGCTTGAGAAGGGAACTTACCTCGCTCATTCACACTCAAAGAGCTTATAAATTTGGACACTTGACTCTTTATCTCTTTGTTTTTTTCAACGACCTGCATAATCAAATATTCAAACTTTTGGTTAGTCTTACCCCGTGTGTCAATAAAGGCATGCAAAATGCCTTCTAAAGGACTCCTAGAAGATGAAGGTGCATGATAAGATGCAAGATATGATTTAGGGGGTTGTGCAGGCGGTTGATTTTCAGACTTTCAGCTAAAATTGGGGTGATTGCGCCATCCAAATTATAGGTATCAGAGTAAGGTGTAAAAGGCTTCTTGTACATACCTAAGGCATTACATTGTTCCTCATACATCCCTCTCATCTCAGCGAGTGTAAGACATTCTTGGGAGAGGTGATCTACCCCGCCACACACAAAACATGGTCCCAAAGACTCTACATGATTAGCCATGTGTGTTGGCTTTAAGTCCTTAGTCTTTAACATATCTAGCTCCCTAGTGAGCATTTCAACCTTAGCCTTTAAGCTATCCTCTTCCCTGAGATGGTAAATTCCACCACCATTTGGGTTTCCTGCAGTTCGTGACTTATATGTTCTTTCAGTAGCACTAGATCCAATCCAAGTGTGAGCTTTTACAGCAAACTCATTGAGGTATTCTATGGCATCATCAGGATCTTTTTGTAAGAACTCACCATTACACATCATCTCCACAAATTGGCGCTCTCTAGGTGTAAGTCCCTCATAAAAATAGCTCACTAAGTGCCAATTCTCATACCCATGGTGAGGACACATACTTAACAACTCCTTAAATCTCTCCCAAGACTGATACAAGGTCTCACTATCCTTTTGTGCAAAGGTGGAGATTTGTCTTTTTAAAGCGTTGGTCTTATGTTAAGGAAAATATTTATTAAAGAAGATCTGAGTCATCTCACTCCATGACCCAATAGATCGTGGTCTCAGTGAATATAGCCAACTCTTAGCTCTATCCTTCAAGAAAAAGGAAAGAATTTAAGTTTCACAACATCATCAAGTGCAATTTGATTATGAAAAGTCGCAACTACTTCCTCAAACTCCCTAATGTGCACATATGAATTTTCATTTTTCAAGCCATGAAAATTAGGGAGTAACTGAATCATCCTTATTTTAAAATCCAGTTGGCGAGTATTAGCTGGAAACATGATGCATGATGGTGTGGTTGTGCGTGTAGGGTGGAGGTAATCATGAAGAGTTCTAATGGGTTGATTTTCGTGTTCACCCATTTTTTCGGGACTTGATGGATTTTCAAATAAAGGATTTATAAAATTTGATTTTGATTCTACCAAAGGCCTACTAGCAAATCTACCTAAGGTATCCCTATATCTGTGCATGCGAGGCAATGGAATACTAAAAGAATAAAAATACTATAAAAAGAAAGAATAATAATAATGCAACAAGCTAAAAGAAGGAACGAAGTTACCGCTTTTGCAGACTGTTGAAAAGAAAAACTATCTACCAATTCTTCTACCGTCTCCCCGGCAACGGTGCCAAATTTTTTTACGCACAAAGAATAACGCAATAATTGTAGCACAGCTTCGTGGTGTCAATTCCACAGAGAGACAAATTAAAAGAATAATAGAATGAACAAAGAAACTAAATAAGAATATTAAATGACTACTAGATAATAAAGATTAATTTTAAATACAAATTAAAGTGAAACAAGTGACTAACGGAAAAAGTATTCAAATTTGACAAACAGTAAAGCGTCCGGAATCCCTTGCACAAATCTAGTCTTTTAATTATTCATAATTCATTGAATAACTCAATTGAGAATTTAATTCCCAAAATTCCCAACCGGAAGATATAGATTTATAAACCAAGATTAAACCCAATATAACCCTTTGAAAAATCATTCACCACTTTTAAAATAAGTAAATTATTATCACTATTGAGAAAATTCAACGACGACAATATACTCAAGAAAGCAATGTTGCAACAAAGAATTAAATCAATATAAATAAATAATTGGTCCAAACATAATCAAAGAATTAATCCATTCAATAGAAAAAGCATGACTGAATCCATAAACAGAATAAATTCTATGATTATTTGTAGAAGAAAATATCAACAATAAATTGAGAATGATAAAACAAAAGAGTTTTAGTAATTAAAAATCAACTGCATAAATTAAAAATAAATAAAAATCATCTACTGTGCAAGTTTATCCCTAACCTTACTTGAGAATTTAGTTACCCATAAATATAATGGACAACAAAAATCTCCCAAAGAAATAAAACAAACCGACAGCCATCGGAATTATTTCTGCTCTAATCTGCGTTCGTCTTCTTCTGCCCAGCCGCTGCCTTCTTTTTCCTTTTCTTTTCTTTGTTCCAGCCGCCACTCCCAAGAGAAAGCATCAACAAAAGGCTAGCCGCCCAGCACAAAGAAAAAGAATAGGTTTTTAAAGTCAAAACTCTTTTCTAAAAATTATATTTTCCTCCTTTCTTTATTCTAGCCCTTTTCACTTCAGCCCCTCTTTATTCCAGCTTTTCTGTTGCAGCCTCTAAAGCCCAACTCTTGTGTAATTTGAGAAAGCTAAAGTCCAATGAAAATTATGAGTGTTGGTCCCACGTGAAAGATGTATCAGTTTCAGCCTTTTTACTGCATGGGCTACTATCAAAATAAAAACAAATATATAACCCGAATAATAAAGTTTCAAAAATATTAAATGTAAAGCCCAATTGTAAATTATTTTTCACCAACCAATAATACAATATTTAAGATTTAAAATGTTATAAAATCATGCTCAATTATATCTCAGTGTGAATAGATATTAAATTCAATAATATAAATTTTATCTAATTATTTATATTCATATTCCAACAATTTAATCCAATAATAGAGTATTTAAAATGCACTTTCATGCACTTATCAGCTGCCGTAAAGTGCTAGATGTTAGTCTATCCCAATGGGGGTGAGATGATTTCCTAACACTTGTTACGAATTGTTGTTTGTGAGAGCAACCACTATTGTTCACGTAAGTTCGAGGCTGAGGGATTGTATACCTTTCCTAGGAAGAATTCGTCAATGCTGTGGGAGACGGTATACGCCCTTCCTAAAATGTTTGTGATTGTGTGGTTGCAATAGGTGAACGAGGTAGAATCGTTGTGTAAATTCATGAGAAGCAACATACATGACAATGAGGATGAACCAACATATATGAGAATATGGAATGATGTTACTGAGTTATTTATTGATCGTTTTAATCTCTTACAAGTTTATTCCTGTCATTGATTTACTGTATTTCGTACACTTGAGATCATTACAATTATCACGGTTTTATTCTCAAAATCTATATATGCTATTTTCCAAAAAAGACTTGTCATCTTTTATTATCTTTTAAACCTTGTTGGGATTTGAGAGAATTTTTCTACAGAGCTTAGTGCTCACCCCCTACAAACAACACTCTTTTTAGATTTTAATTTAAAGGAGGAGCTCAGAGTTGACAAGCAGGTAGCGTGGAAAGCTCAACATGATGGGCATGTGGACCCGGAGGGGAATGTCTAGAACTATTCTTTTTATGTCCTAGACTAGAAGGTTTATTTTGAGATAATGTTCATGTTAATGTTTTCTTATTCCGCTACAAGATAATAGTTAATTTTTGGGATGTAAGTGCCGTAGTTGAGCTTATTCTTTTGGATGTAATGGTCATGGCTTGACATATTCTTTTGGATGAAGTTGTAGATATTATGTATGATGAATGAAATTTTCTTTACTTATGGATTTTAGTAGTTGCTTTGATGATGCAAATGGTTTAAAATAGTAATGTCATCTAAGGTGGATTTTGGGGGGTTACATTTTTTTTACCTTAACATGCCAAAAAGAATTCAAGGGCATGCTTAGTTTCGTGTATAGGACTTTTTTTTTCGGTTAATGGGGACTAACAAATTGAAAATGTAATTGAGATATTCCTTGTGGAAGGTTTGGAGCCTAGTTTTGGAGTTTTGCCCATCTGTACTGCACAATTGTACTGTCCCGACAGATTGCTGAGCTTGGTATCTGTCCTACTGTTGACCCATTAGATTCTACATCTCTCATGTTTTCGCCACACATTCTGGGAGAAGAACACTACAACACTGCTCGTGGTGTTCAAAAGGTTCTTCAAAACTATAAGAATCTTCAGGATATCATTGCCATTTTGGGGATGGATGAACTTAGTAAAGATGACAAGTTGACTGTTTCTCGTGCACGAAAGATTCAAAGGTTCTTGAGCCAACCGTTCCATGTTGCTGAAGTTTTCACCAGAGCCCCAGGAACGTATGTAGAGCTGAAAGAGAGTATTACCAGTTTCCAGGGAGTATTGGATGTAAAATACGATGAACTTCCTGATCAATCATTTTACATGGTTGGTGGCATTTAAGAGGTCATTGCCGAGGCGGAGAAGATTGCTAAGGAGTCTGCTGCTTAATCACATCCAATATTTTCCCCTCTATTCTCCAGGAACTTCAAAAAAATTGACAATAACATTGGCTATGCCAGCATCAAGAGTTGCATTTTTTTGTATCATTAGTTGCTTGAATTGTTGACTTTTGTAGAATAATGTTTGGAAGAAGAAAGGATGTAAGGGGGTGATCGGTTACACACCCTTTTTTAGCTTTTGCGCAATAAGAAAAAAACCTAGGATGGGAATTTTGTAAAAAAAAAAAAAGGTGATCATTTTGCCGTAGCTTGCTCCTGAGAAATCTAATAGGCTAGGGCAGCTCTAGAACAAGTTTAGCTTTTTGTGGAAGAAACTCTTGCTATTTTGGTTTCAAGAGAGAAACGGGTTCTAGAAATGGTTTGATTCCACATGAACCAACACATGCCCTTAAGCTCTTATATCCTCTCAGTAGGGCAAATAAATTTAATGTTATTATTGTTTTTCTTGAATTTATTTTGTTCGTGGATATGTGTTTCATGTTCATTGGTCAGTCTCATTAACGTCTTGTGTTGTTTGTTTTTGAATGTCATGTTCATTGGTCAATCTCGTTAACACGAGTCGAGCAGACTACCTAAGGGATCTATTTTTTGTAACACCCCGCATTTTCTTTTATACATGTATATAGATATATAGTAAATAATTGTGATAAAAAAAATATATGGATATATTTAGTGATGTGTGTTTGAATTTGGTAGATTGGAAAAGTAGAGATTTAAAATGTTAGTGAAAATAATAGTTAAAATTTGGTTTTGATAAGTGAAAATATGATATTTTAGGTCCTAGAACTTGTATTAAATAGTTTTAGTGTAGAAATATGTGTTGGAGAGGTTTGGGATGGATTTGGTTGGCTTAGGAATGGATTGGAAATGGAAAAGGGACGAAGACAAGCGGTGAACAGTGCACTGCTGCAACTTCAAGCTCGATTTAGACCTTGATGCAGTCAATATCTCTCAAAACTCAAAACATGAAAGTTTTAGAGCTCTTTCGTATCATTCCATAGCATCTTGAATCATATCAATAGAAGCTTGGATGAGAGAGTTATGCTCAGATAACGAAATAATGTCGAAATAGTCCAATTAGCTTCGTTTTACATTTAATGTCTTCATTTGCATCCTAAATCAAAATATAAGAATAATGAGTGCTTTTAGACTTCAAATAAGTATAAAAGGCTTTAATAAACACCCTTTATCACCTTTTATTTGCAAACATCGCAACACTTCATTAATAGCCGATTTGGATGGATAAAATAGAAACTTTAGTGTTTCGGGTGTACGTTGACTTGGGTGTTGAGATAAATCATAAAAATAAATTTTTTTAGGTTAAAATAACATTAAAAATGAATCCAGAACGTTGAAAAACCTTAGGGTAGTCATATGGATCAAATTGGAGATTCTTAGTGGCAAAATCGTAAATTTGGAAAAAAACCCAAAACAACCTGTGAATAATATTTTTTGGGGCTGCTATATTTTAAACTCATTTTTATCTCATTTGCTCTCATTTTCTTCACTCCTCTCACACCCCCTACCTCTTGAAACCCTAGAAGGCATTAGAGAAGAAGAAAGGAAGGAAAAAACAAGAGATTCAAGGGTAATTCAAGATCAAATATTCTTGTTCTTCACTACAAAGCTAAGGATTAAAGTAGGGGTTTTCTCTCATTCACTTACATTGAGGCTAGGGTATTTATATATGTATGTTTTGGCTATCAATGATATATATATGCTATGGAATCATCATCTCTTAGGCTTTTTGCAAGGATTACATGTTTTGAACAAAGTAGGGTTTAATACCCATGAAATCTCCTTTCTAGTTCTAAAACTCTAATTTTTGGAGAGTGATGTATTTTCCTAAATGCTTTCTTTATTATGGATTTCGAAACCTTAGTGCTTTGTGTTGGGTAGAAAAATGATGTTATTGTGATCTCATGTATTTTCTTAGTTAGTTGTGGAATTGTTATATGATATATTTTGAGAATTTTGGATAGATGCTTGTAAATTGAGATAAATGTTGGAATTGTATGCTTGGTTGTGTTGTTTATGATGCACATGAGTGAGAGGTTCCTTGAAAGGATGCTCACCATTCCCAAGAGGTTCCCGGTAAGGATGCTTGGAAAATAATGTAGTGATTAGTGAGAGGTTCCATGTAAGGATGCTCATCCATTTTCAAGAGGTTCCTAGTAAGGATGCTTGAGAATCAAAGGTGACCTAAAAGGGGGTTGGAGGTTACCACAAAGTATGCCACCTACCGAAAGAAATGTTGGAAATTGGTTATGGCAATTAATGGTTATTATTTGTATGTGGTGCTCATTTATTCATTTAAGTAATGTTTTTAAATAAACTTGAGATCATTTTTAAATGTCACTGCTTTATTTCAAATTATGTATCTATGTTATGTTAAAATTGAGACCAACCGTTTTAAATGCTTTTCTAAATCTTGTATAGGTTTGGGAGAATTTTTCTACAGAGCTTCGTGCTCATCCCCTACCGCTAAAATTTTTCAGATTACTCGCTTGAGGAGGAGGACGTAAGGGTCGAGGAGCCCGCTACTTGGGAGACTCCACGGGACGGGAGTGTGGATCCCTAGGTGGACGCATAGAGCGACCTCCTTTCCTTTTGTATTAGACTAGGACATTCTTTTGGAACATTGTGTAGTCTAGCTTCTTTTGTTTATTCCGCTGCGCTTCCTTAATTAATTTTTGAAATGTAATAGCCATGACTTGGGCTTATTCTTTTGGATAATGTTGTAAATATTCGTGGATGACAAATGAAGTCTTGTTTCTTAAGGGATTATATTGATGCTCTCATGATATGAATGGTTTTAGAATGTAATGTCATCCAGGGTGTGTTTTGGGGTGTTACAATGTTGGTATCAGAGCTTAGGCTTTAGGTCTTATATGGGAGCTGTAGGTTATGAAATCACCTCTAGAGCTTTAGGATTAGGGTGAATCAAATCCTTGAGTGAAATTTTATACACATTCTATGCCTTAGCTTAACCTAATATTTAGGATGTCCTTTACATCCATGAACTAAGTTGTGAATTGATGTGCAGGATGAACAGACGGGGACACAGACGTGGCCGTGGCCGTGGAGGTCAAGCGAATCCACCACCACCACCACCTCTGAATGCCATGCAAGGCATTTACCAATGCTTGAGGGAGCTCACCACTTTGGTACAAAACCAAAATGGTAACAACAACCACAATGGTGGAGCTCATCCTCTCGCTCAAGTACCGGGCAATGGGAACAGAGATTGAAGGATGATAGCTCTTCAGGAATTCTTAAGACAACGACCACCCAATTTCCAAGGGAGCTCCAATCCTTTGGAGGTGGATAGATGGATCCGCCGAGTGAAGAAGATCTGTGACGGCATGGGAGTTGCCGAGGAGTTGAGAGTTGGTTTGGTGACCTACCTGTTTGAGGGGGAGGCCGACTATTGGTGGGATGCCATAAAGAGGAGAAGGGACACCGATGCACTCACTTGGGAAGAGTTTGATCAACTTTTCCAAGATAAGTACTTTCATGAATCGGTCAGAGACTGAATGAAGGCAAATTTTCTTGCACTACGACAAGGTAGTATGACCGTGGCTGAGTATGAGAGGCGGTTCGACGAGCTCTCCTATTATGCTACGGGATTTATATCTAATGAGGCCGACAAGGCCAAGCGCTTCGAGCAAGGTCTAAGGCTGATCATCAGGGAGAAGTTGGTGGCTCTCAAGATCCGTGATTTTGAGGACTTGGTGGACAGAGCTGCACTGGTAGAGAGAGACATAGAGGATAGTCAGCGACGACAAGGCTTCTCGAGAGGAGGTCCGATCCAGACGGGTGCTAGCACTAGTGGGGCACAGAGACCGACACCATACCGTCGCCCAGACCAGACAGGTGGACAGCGACTTTTGACAGCCCGAGGAGAGGGAGACACTCAGACTAGAGCCGGTATTACCTCACGATCCTACTTTGTACGTGGAGGTGTGGGGCATATTCGGATGCATTGCCCAATTTTTCCACCTCAAGGGCCTATCCAAACTGCCAGACAGGTACCAGCAGCCCAACCACCACCACCACCGAGGCCTGCACCGCAACGACGGATACAAGCTCAAACCCCCGGCGGCGCCAACCAAGGGCGAGTATTTGCTTTGACTCAGCCGGAGGAGGACATTGCCAATGCCATTGTGGAAGGTATCGTCCTTATTTACAATTCTTGGGCCCGAATATTATTTGACCCCGGTGCAACACACTCATTTATACGCACGACATATGCACTTGATTTGGGATTGAGTTTCACGAAGTTAGAGCATGTTATAAACATTAGCTTGCCCACGGGAGAACGGTTAGATACTAGCCGAGTTTGCAAGGGTTGCGTGCTTCGCATTGGGGAGCACGAATTGATTGTGAATTTGATTGCTTTAGAGATAAAAGGGTATGATGTGATTTTCGGGATGAACATGTTGTCCACTTTCTGGGCGGTAATGGATTGTTTCCGCAAGCGGATTATATTTCAGTTGCCGGGAGGAGTTATTTTCAGTTTTGTGAATAACCAAGATTCTTCCCATCCATTTCCTACTACGGGTAGTAGATTTTTAAAAGCAAAATCGGGAAGTCATTTGAGTTTCTTAGCTAGCTTGATGGGAGATGATAGGGATAAAATCCATACGGATGTAGTGTTAATTGTATCGGAGTTTCTAGATGTTTTTCCCGAGGAATTACCCGGATTACCGCCACATAGGGAAATTGAGTTCAAGATCGATCTCTATCTGGGAACCGAACCCATATCCATTGCTCCCTACGGATGGCACCTTTGGAGTTGAAGGAGCTAAGGAAGCAGTTGGATCACTTGTTGGCGATTGGGTTTATCCGTCTAAGCACTTCACCTTGGGGAGCCCTGATCCTCTTTATGAAGAAAACGGATGAGACTTTACGCCTGTGCACGGATTACCGGAGGTTGAA